TATGGTTGGTAAGGGTTGTGACGTCGTAGAGACGTCGATGTAAGGTCGTCGACGTCATTTACCAATATATACCAATAATCGACGTTTATATGACGTGACCATGTCAGCTGGGATATTAAATACAGGATGAATTTTTTAAATGTTTAATGCAGGGACCCCGGAAACTATATAGAAAGAAATTGAACCTACCTTCAAATCCTTTAACAAAATCACTGAGCCCCCATTCAAGCAGAGTAACTTTGAAAGCCATTACTATGTTCTGTAAAATTACCGCAAAACAATTGTGAAGAAACGCCCTTTTTCTTCTATAAACGATTCAATATTATCCTCAATTTCCCGTAAACAAGTGAGAAATAAAATAATTAATGACGCTACCACAGAGGACGCTGTTCCGTGCTGTGGACGCTAGTTAAACGATTGGTCGATTCGAGTATAGTCGGAAAGCCGAATCTGTTAGTTAGGTAGATGAGTTTGTTAAGGCCATTATACAACTTCTTAAGGTCTTTAGATAATTTAAGGTGGTTCACAATCTTATGTTATGTGTTCACAATTGACTAGTAATGGTTATTAAGACAAGTTTTAATAAGGTCGTCTATTAATTAATAGGTTAACCATATTTAGTTATTTATCACTGGCATTAAAATAATTTAAAGAACAGCGACATATTAATCTGAGTTTATGGTGGTATTTAGATATTTTATGATTGTTAAAATATAAATATAGATGATCTATATTTTTTGTTTTGACACTTTATTAAAACGTATCTATTGGTCACCTTAATTCGTCTTCATGTCACAGATAAGTCGTTTTTTCGCGTAAATACCATGAAATACTATGGTTATTAAACTTAACCTTGGTTAATAGTTAAGGCATTTTTGCGTTAAGAGTGCGTTCAAAAATCCTAACTATGACGTCACAAATACCTGACCATAAAACTATATCGCTGAGCTAGTTATTCAACGTGGTTACCTTTAAAACTATAAATCCAGCTTAATAGTCTTTCTCTTTTTAATATATATTTTTCTCTGTTTCGATCTGTCAAAAAGTTGTTTACATTTGAAATTTAAAATATTTTAAGTAGGTACAATTGCTCTTAAACCGAATTTAAACTTTGTATTAAAATGGTAAACGGGGTGTTGTCAGTAAAAATAAATTATAGGGTGCTCCATATTGTGGAATCTCCACAAGTGGAGGAATTATATGCAGGTTTGTTTTATATTCTTCCTTATTTTGTATTAAACATGTAGGAGAATTGGATAACGTGTATTGAAAAAACTAGTACCTATAGAAAAAGAATATACTAGGTATAAGAAGAGGCAAAGAAATTTATTTACACCGGTAAAAGCATAGAAATAAAATATAAATAGGTAAAAACAAATTTCAAAAATTATAGGTTAAGAACAAGTAAACAAATGTCAAATGTTAGAACGCTGTGACTAGAGGCACGCTAACGTGCCGCGATTTGAAATGTTAAAGGCACGTTAGTTACGTCATAAACCCAAACCATCCCAAACTCAACAACACAACCCAACCGACCCCGCCCCATTGCCCCCCCCGCCCCATTGAACAAAAAACCCAACTAAAATGGGCAAATTTATGTTACGATAAAAATAAAACACTTTTTAACAAAGGAACAACAAATTTATGAAATAAAAAAAGTTCGACAACTTCTAGTAGATTTTATGTTACGATAAAACTAAAACAAACCACCAACCCAACCCAACCGAACACTGTTTAACAAAGAAACAACAAATTTATGAAATAAAAAAATAAAAAAAGTTCGATAAATTCTTATTATCGAACCCAGGACCTCTCGCATGCCAAGCGACCGCCCTACCATATGAGCTATCTAGCTTGATGTCAAATATTAAACGCTCGGGGAACAAAAACGGATTATAATTATGACGTAACTAACGTGCCTTTAATATTTTCAATCGCGGTACGTTAGCGTGCCTCTAGTCACTGTGATGTTAGAAACCTAACCATGGTTATATGAATTAACTGTGACGTCATGACTTATTTAACCGTAGTATTACATAGTATTTACGCGAAAAAACGACTATAGATAATTTGTACTGGTTATTAGATATATTTTGAACACTATGTAGATAATTTCATTAAGATAATTTAAGATTGGAATTTTCTCAGTGCATTTACTCAATAAAGTGCATAGTTTAAAAATATAGCATTTAATAAATTTGACTGTAAATTTTTGATAAAACTAACTACTTTATCAATAGTTGACCGTAAATATACCGAAGAATACCCGTGAGACGTTCATAGGAAATCCTCAAGGAGCCATTCCACGCGTAACGGATAGGACAGTTGCCGTGTTTTTATTTACAAAATAATATTGTTCTATTATATTACCAATGTCAAATTTTTATAAATAGTTCAAAACAAAATCTGTTTAACAAGGTTTTTATTTGGCAAAATTAGGTATCGTGATTGACTGTTTAATATAATAGAACAATATTATTTTGTAAATAAAAACACGGCAACTGTCCTATCCGTTAAGCGTGGAATGGCCCCAAGATTGAACCTATCCAGAACGTCTGTTTTTTTTGGGGGGAGTAGATAAAATTTATTAAATGCTTTATACCTTTTAAACTATGCATTTTATTGCATTAATCCATATGACTTTTTGTAGGAAATTGAATTTTTTCATAAAAGTTTTGTTTACTTTTTACCTGTAACTTTAACCGTTTTGCCATAAAACAACATAGGGCTTATTAATTAATCAATTAATTGATATACCCGGACAACAATCGGGATTTCCTGGTGAAATCATGATGATATCACAACGTGATTTTTTTATCACGCCATGATATCCTGAGTGCATACACATGCTTCATCACAGTGATATCATGTCGAACTCACGGTGTGATATTTGCAAAATTTGCGCATGCGTAATAGCCCTGCGAACTGCGAATTTAAAACCTAGTTTGTTACCTGTTGATTCAACATAACTTTTCTCTTAGTGTACGAACGTGGCGCAAAAATGATAATCAAAACACCGTTGGCATAAAAAATCACGACATGATTTTTTATGCTATCGGTAAAAAAATCACGACATGATGTTCGTATGAATATCACGAATAATTGAATTCAATTAAAAAAGGACAACATTCGTGATATTCATACGAACATCATGTCGTGATTTTTTGACCTATGGCATAAAAAATCACGACATGATTTTTTATGCCATCGGTGTTTGGTCATAAAAAATCACGACATGATTTTTTATGCCATCGGTGTTTGGATATTCATTTTTGCGACACATTCGTACATTGAAAGAAAAAGTATGTTAACAATTGAATTAACAGTTTAACATTCAATATTTTCTTGGATTTAAATTAACTATATATAGTTAATTTAAATCCAAGAAAATATTAAATGTATTTAACCGCAAAAACTGTTGATTCAACATAATTTTTCTCTTAGTGTACGAACGTGGCGCAAAAATGATTATCCAAACACCGTTGGCATAAAAAATCACGACATGATTTTTTGTGCCATCGGTCAATCGCAAACAGCGATGGCATAAAAAATCACGACATGATTTTTATTTCTCACGCAGTGACATCCGGATGATGTCCGTATGAATAAAATTTGTGAAAATCACGACGTGACGTTCGTATGATTTTTATTTATCAAGCGGTGACTTCCGTATGATATCAATATGAATCAAATTAATTTGATTCATATTGATATCATACGGAAGTCACCGCTTGATAAATAAAAATCATCAAATTTGTGAAAATCACGACGTGATGTTCGTATGAATATCACGAATGTTGTCCGGGTATGTTGAGACTAACCAGTTCTTCAATATTTAAAACAAAAATTTATTAAATGCTCTATATCTTTTAAACTGTACATTTTATTGCATTATTTCCAAGGGCCTTTTTTTATAGAAAATTGAATTTCCCATATTTATAAATATCCCATTAATTTTACCTGTGACAGTTTTGCCGTAAAATACTGTTTTTTATTAAATATATGACTTTGGTGACGTATACAGTTCTAAATATATGAATTGTATTAAAATTGTTGCAACTACTTTAAAAGAGCATCCATGTACAATTCGCACCTATGTAAATTGTAGTAAAGTAAAATGTCGCCAAGCTATAGGAAATTGTACAACAAAATCATCAATTTCCTATGTTATTTTAATGGACAAACTTTAAAATCAAAATAAAAGTAAAACTAGGGACTGAAACTTTAAAGGCCTTTTTTTTTCGATATGTACATTATTCATTTGCTTGGAAAGTGACAAAAAATAAATGTTCCTTTAAAACGAATTACCCTAATATAATATAATATATTTACAACCAACAAATACAGCAAATTCTGGGGATGATTTTTGAAGGATTTTGACAAATTTTTTGTTTTTTTTTATATAACTTAAATTGCTGTTTATCTAGAGGTATTAAAGCTAAATACGACTGTCAAAACAATCAAAAATCTTAAAAATTAAAAGTATGGTCGTTTTAATTTACTAATCAAGTCCTACCCTGTTTGAAACGCCTTTGACCAAAATTTTGCCTTTATTTTATTTACAGTTAGCAAGAACACTATATAGTAAGTATACTTATAAGTTTGGCATAAAATGTTAGGTATTCATGCCAATTAATTGAAATTTTACAATTATTGTGAAATTTAAATTTCACTCTTATCTTCTTCCCAGGTTTAAAATAAAAACATTTTCAGGGATTTTAATAGGCTCTATCTCATTACGAGTAGTTTCTTGCAATATTCGACAAATTTTGGTTATAGAAAGTTATAAAAACTAAACATATATTTTTAAATTAAATATTTAATAGGAAATATAAAATGGCTTTGTCACTCATAAATTTACATATTACATTTTCCTAAAGAGCGTAAATATATTACATCTGGCAACATTGCTCTAAATCTGAAAAATGCACAGGTCTCTGAAAAAATGACTAAAAAGTAAAAAGTGACGTCATAACTACTTGGCAGCAACAGCAAAGATTTTAAAATTGAATTAAAATGATTTTGAATAATTATTATGAAGTGAGTTTGACAGTTAATAATTATTAATAAATTGTTATTGCAATTGAGGACCCTAGAAGCCAAGGGATACAAGTGACATTTAAAAAAAATGTAGTTATGCACAGAAAAAGATAGTAAATGCTAAATTTTACTTAATATCCAAGGGATATAACTGAATTCTAAGGTTAGACATCTTGAAAAACAAAGTCATAAAACAACAAACCATTTTGACTCCAAATTACATGTGAATTTTTACTTTAAACATGATTATCTCAAAACTAAACAAAATGTACTTATACCCCTTGGCTTCTAGGGTCCTCAGTTATAATTGTAATTGTAAAACATATGTTATTTTTAACGTAAAGTTTAATTAAAAAAGGGCCTATAAAACTGTTAACGGTTTAATATATTACCTATAGGTATATATAGTATAGTATATGGTTACTGCTAAATTTGACATTTTATTTAAGTTTAAATTTTAAATACATTTACAATGTGCACTCTTAGCCTCCTAGTTGGACCACAAAAAGTCTAACATAATATGTTGGTCTACCACTTTATTATAATGAAGTTCTTCTCTACGATTTTATATTGGGTGAATATTTATATTAAGTGGACCTCGAATTTCGGTCAAGTCGGACATTTTGCAAAAAATTGCACCCAAAGTCCTTATTACAGATAAGAAATCCATCCTAAATTTTTTTCTAAATTTAGATTTTTCAATCTTTTATAGACAATAACTTTTTAAGCATGTTTTTTGTAATTTATTTTCTCAAAACTTTTTTACGTAAGCATAATGATATTTGAACTTTGAGAAAATTACTTTTTCATATATTAACATTATTTTTTTCAATAAATAAATTGCATTAATACAATGTCGTTCATATTTTCGTAAACTATAGGAGAGTGTCGAAGAAAATATTTTCGAAACAAATTGGTTTATCTGTTTTGTTTATATACAGGGTGTTTCACATTTTTTAAGCGTTTATAATCCATTTTTCTAAAATATTTTGAACAAAATACTACTTCCGGTTAAACCGGAAGTGGCACCAAATTTGTTGTTTCAAATAGAACACCCCATATATTTTTACATTTTTAAATTCTACAAACAATTCTGAGGAAAATTACCATACTATGTCCTATACCAAACATTTTTTTCGTTAAAATTTGACAAATGCGCGTCAATCAAAAATTGTTAAATATCTCTAATATTAACTTTACGTATAGGGAAAAATTACATTAATCGAAAGATTTTTTAATTTACTCTTTTATTAGTTGGAAACATACTGGGTGTTACATTTAAAATAAAAAAGTTATTAACGTTTCAAGTTAGCCTAATTTGCCATGGTTTTTCTTAAGTAATTTGTTGAGATAATATTATGTTAAAGAATTGACATGAAATTGTTTAAACAATGTTTTAAGATTCCAAAAATAATAATAATAATAATGTAGACAAAATATTTTTTCTACAATTGACAAAATATTGTGCCTAACACGCGCGGGAAGGATATTTTTTGCCGGTTAATCGGACGAAAAACAGGTAAAACCGTTCGCAGACGTTTCTTCTTAAGCCTAAAAATAAAATGTAGCTTAGGGTAATAAAAGCAATTTTTTGTACGATTCAAATGAATATATTTACAAATTAGTGTAATCTATATTATATACTTAATAAGAAAATAAACAATTAATCAAATACGATGGTGGTTTTGCTTGAATAATAAAAAGTCATGTAATAAAAATGGCAAAGATAACTTGAAAAATTGCATAACAATTAACAAAAATAAACAAATATACCACAATTTGAAAATAACAATTATACAATATTTTTATAGATAATGTAGGTATATAAAATTTATCTAAACATTTAAAAATTAAACCGTAAACCTAAGAAGTTATATTATTGTTTGGCATTTCTATTTCGACAGTGTCTATTCCACTCCGTTTTAGCATTTCCTTGCAATCCTTATTCTCCTGTTCGAGAGCAAAGTTTCTTTGCTTTAAAACCTCAATTGTTTCCAGTAATTTTTTATTCTCCTGCATACAGATGTCAAGTTTTTCCTGATTTTCCCTTAATTCCGTTATATATTCACAAGCCTTTGCTAAAATGGCCCCTTTAGATTGCCCATCATAATGTCCATTGCCTTTTATATCTGGGTGGCTGGGATCTGGGATTATTGTCGATAATCTTTGTATCCAGTTGTTTATTTTGTCCCTTCGTCTCCTTTCAACTTCATTGTGTGTTGCTCTTCTCCTCTCATCTTTCTAATAATTTAAATTAAAAGATTACTTCTGAAAATAGCAATAACAAAGTCTTACCTTTTTAATATTTGTGCATAATGGGTCCACTAGATTGCACCTAGGTGCTATTGCAGGAGCTATTGGTCTTGATTGTTGTGAAAAAACCTCATGATTACTGATGACATACAACTGTCCATTTAAATTGCTTGTTATCACTCCTGCATTGTTAAAATTACTCCCGTTTGACACGATTTGTTGCACTCCATTCTCAGCACCACCATCTTCCACTTGCAAAACCCTGTATGTAATTAGACCTGAAATTGTAATCCATGTAGTATAAGGAACGCCTAAATGCAGGAATGGGCTCCATCTTAATATAATTTTTGCGTATAATAAAACAAACCAAATCAAACCAAACCCAACCAACCCAACCCCCCGTAACCGCCCTATTGAAGCCTAACCACCATATTGAAGACGATTATTCCATCGTGCATTGCCCTTTATCTCGAACTTTGTTACCGATGGAATAATCGTCTTCAATAGGGTGGTTAGGCTTCAATAGGGCGGTTACGGGGGGTTGGGTTGGTTGGGTTTGGTTTAATTTGGTTTTACTTTACCCAAAATTTATATTCAGATGGAGCCCATTCCTGCATTTAGGCGTTCCTGTAGTATATGCTCTAGGGTATTTGACAGCAATTGTCAAAGTTTGACGTTTATTAGTGGGGTTAAGTGGTGTTTACCTTCGGAACCTTTGACTGCGTAGTGCACGTCACTGTCATGCGTTTCGAGCAGCGTCTGTGGCGATAAATGGTTGACCTGCTCGTCGTCGCTATCCATGCCATGTTTTTCGATGTCGTTTATAATGACTTTCGTCTCGATAACATCGCCGCTGAAATGTAAACACGCACGTAAAAAACCCGACCAACATCATCTAATTATCATATTAGAACCACTTATCTAGCAATTTTGCATTAAATGACCTTGTCGTTAATACTAGCGTTACATAACCACACCGCACTTTAGGCGTGATTTTGCACAAACAAAAACTCTACCTGTCGTCCAAAGGGTCTAACAAATCCATCGGCCCTTAATCCTACGGTTTGTTTTGGAAATTTTTTGAATTTTCCTTCAATTTTGGTCACGGGGACAAATCAGGTCATGTGACGCGACACCAACTTCACTAAATGCACTGCGCGTGCGTCAAACACGTCCATTCTCAACCTTACGTTGCAGAAACCTGTAGCTTAATATTCTAAACTTTATCAATCATCCACTGGATGGCCGGTACATTTCAACTACTAACCTCAATTTTCAGAACATAACCTCAATACAACGTAAACATGGATAATGTCAAGATAAAAAAGCCTACGAGCACGGAGAACTTGGAAAATCTCTCCAAAGAGGTAAATAACGACATAATAAAGCATATTCAACTAAAATTAACTTTTAAGGAGCTTATTAATATGGTGAAATCTCTTGAAGCACACAACAACCAATTAAAGAACATTATAGCAAAACTATCGGGAGGAGAGTCATCAAAGTACAAAAACAACTCATACGACTTCTCAAAGTAACACTTTCAACATAAAAAACTCTGTATATTCTCATATTTTCTAGATGCCACTTTCGACACATTCTCCTTAAATTCTTCTACCTAGGCTGGGATTACAACGGTTACGCTGTACAAGAAGACACCTCAGTAACAATAGAAAACTACATTTTTAAATCCCTCACCAAAACGTGCCTCATTAAAGACAGACAATCATCAAACTATCATAGATGTGGGCGAACTGATAAAGGTGTTTCTTCATTTGGACAGACTATTTCTATTGATGTAAGGAGTAAGTTAACAAAGGAAACAGAGGAAAATGTTGAGGATGAACTGGATTATTGTCAGATGTTAAATTCAGTTCTACCAGATAATATACAGTGTGTGGCTTGGAGCCCTATAGAGAACAATTTTAGTGCTAGGTTTGACTGTAACAGTAGGATTTATAGGTATTTTTTTGCTAAAGGATGGTTGAATATTGAGGTGAGTGCAAGTTTTTTAATGAAATAGAGAATAATAGTTATTAAATGTTTGTTGAAATTGATTGTTATAACTTTTGTATTTTTGGTACAGGCTATGATGGAGGCATCACAATTTCTAATAGGAACTCATGACTATAGACATTTTTGTAAAATGGATGTTGGAAATGGAGTTGTACAATTCATAAGAAGAATTGATGAAATTAATATTAAACCCTCTGATTTAAATGAGAATGAAAATGGTAAAGTAAAAAAAAATCTGCAAAAAATGACCTTAGATTATTTTTTTGTAGAATATTCAATGTATGTTATAACAATTAAAGGAAAAGCATTTTTATGGCATCAAATTAGGTGTATAATGGGTATTTTATTTCTAATTGGGCAAAATAAAGAAAAACCTCACATTGTTAAGGAATTATTGGATATAAAAAAAAATCCACGGTATAAAAAAAATATTTATATATGTATTTTTAGTTGAAATTGTTTTTAGAAAGCCAGAGTACCAAATGGCAAGTGAGATACCGTTAAATCTATATTTTTGTGACTATGATACTAATAATTGGGTTTACAGTATAGACTCTCTTACAAAGTGTATAAAAAAGTTAAAAAATGCATGGACTTTTACAGGAGCAAAGTAATTAAAAAAAATACATAATTTCTTAAATTTATTATCTTAATTTTAGAGGATCTATGATAAAAACCATGATTTTATCCCTAGAAGACAATTTAAAAACAATTTCAGAAAAAAATGACAAGACCTTGGAAAAAAATTGCCTGTCAGAGTATTTAATACAGGGTGTTAAAATGAAAAACTACATCCCCCTAATGAAACGTCAAAAGTGCAGTAAGTTTTGTTTTTTGTCATTTTAAATCAGTCACAACTTTATTATTTTTAGAAACACTTGAAGAAAGAATAAAACATTTTACAAAACGAAAACGCATAGAAATTGTTAAGGAATAAATGTATCTTAATAAACATTTTTTTTTAACATATTGATTAAGAAGATTATATTCTTCTTAATTATTCCCCGACTCAAGGTGTCCCCCAACCTGCAAAAGGTGACTAAATGAATACCCTAATCCCATAAAATCAACTTCTGCTACTAATTTCTAAACTCCCATTATTTGTATATAAAAACAACAATGCTCTTTCATACGTGCTATGTGGCAGATATCTGGTAACTACAAAATAAAGTTATAATCGTCTAAACAACTTATGTGGACCACGTGTTTGGTGCAATATTTATTATTAATATTATTATCTGGAACTTATTGAACCTTTTATTTTTCCTGAAATAGAAGGCACCCAGAGAAAAAGGAAATTTCCAGTGAAATCCCTGTGGAAAGTTATTTTAGAGACTTTAGATTAACATTAATAATTCTGTTTTTTTGTTTGTTTTTTTTAATATATTTAAGCTTATACAATTCACAATTTATATAAAAATATCGTATTTAGATGGGCAGAAAGACCTTGGTCAGTAGTGTTGGTTTCTGAATAAATATACATACACTGAAAAAAATAATCTCTTAAAAGAAATGAAAATCACTTTGATTCAAGAGATTTGCGCTTTTGAATAGGGCCAAGAGCTATGTTTCTTAATCTAAGTCAGAAACTATCTTTACATGAATTTTTTAAAATTACTTGAGGGAAAAGATTAATCTATTCGTTGAAGGATATTACAATATTAGCTTAAATCAAGAGCAAGCGATTTCTTGGTACAAGAACAAAAAATATTTCTTCGGAAGATATTTCTCTTTTGAATTAAGAAAACGTTTTTTAGCGCAAAAACATGGGATTTTAACAAGAAAACTGCATCTCTTAATTGAAAAGCTTAGGAACTTTCTAAGAAAGAAAATTTGTCTTGCTACAAAAGCATATACTATTGACCTAACCACATTTTATTTTGATTTTAGAGCAAATATCTCTTGATCCAATAGTATGTATTGCTTTATTCAAAAGCTTCTGATCTTCACTAAAACTACCAGCGTTGTTAGTATTTAAGCTTAAAGTCCCCTTACCACGTAGGGCTTTTGATTTTAATTAATAAAACATGCATTTAACAATTAAAATCAAGGACCTTCCTTGTGAGGGGAGTTTAAGCCTAAATATTGGCATCGTTGAAAACTAGAAGATTGACTGAAAATAAGGTTTACAAAAAAAAATTATTTAAATAAAATAAAACATTTATTGTTTGATATCAACAAATACTATAATTACTAATATTAATAACATAAATATGATTTAACATACAAAAATATTTAAAATAAAAAAATAAATCAATCTTATTGCACAAAACATATACCAATAATAATAACATAAAATAAAACTTATTATTTAATCATTGAAATAAAGCAACTGCCGTTACCCGAAACATGATTGTTATAAATGTTTTTATTTTTTAAAGATTCAAAAGAACAAATAATAAGTGTACTTTGATTTGCTTTCGTAACCTCATAGGCTTGAAAATGAGAGCTAAATCCAATGGTAACATATTTTAACACTAAGAAAAATATAGATTCTGCTTCAATAATAATATCTATTATTTTAGCAAAGGTAACTAAACCACCAATACCATAACTAATATTAAGAAAGAACCCCCTTTTATATAAAACAAAGTTAATGCTTACCCAAGGCACGGTAAAAGCGTTTTCGCTGATTTTATTTTTAACTATAATAGTATGATTTTTATTTACAACACTACGTGGTCCACACTTTGTTTCACATTCTAGTCCCTTTTTGCTGGAGAACCTATAAGATAATCTTAATTGTTGTTTAATACTTAAAGTAACCAGCAAATTTTTTCGACAAGTTGTATTATTAGCTGTACTTTTTAAAAGTTTGTGAAATCCTTCATACCTCATTGACCAGTAATGTCTGGGTGGTCCAATCATTTTAATGATTGCAGGATAATAACACGCCACAACACAACACAACACAACACAAAATGTATATTAGAAATACTACTACCCCTATTGTCGAATTGCAAGTTCAATAATACCAAACATCTGTGTACTAAACACGCGTGAGCCGCAAACCGTGTGCGCCGCGAACAGTTCGCGTTCTGCATCCCCTCCCATGTATTAGAAGCTACCAGATTTTGTTAGAAAATTGACATGCCATTGGGATAATTGTGATGTATCTTGAATGAATTGCGCAAATATAAATAATTTTCATAGCTTTTGAACAAAAACACTTTGCACTTGGTTGAAAGAAGAAACATTCAAGAGATTTTGTATTTGTTTTTAAGAGAACTATAGTTCTTGCGCTAAGAACTTTTTTCTTCAAGCAATAAATACTCTTTTATGCTAAAATATTGTTTCTTGCCTCTAATAATTTTAAATCAAGAGAGTTCACTACTTTGGTTTAAGGCCACCTTTTTTTTCAGTGTACTACTACTAATATATATTATTATTATTATTGGGGCAAGGGTTTTGACCCTTAAATTAATATCTTTAAATCTGTTATGACAATACATTGTATATTTTACTGGGTTGAAATTTTCATTATTAAATAAATAATGAAAGAGCATTGTTGTGTTGTTATATACAAATTTTGTATATAACAACACAACAATGCTCTTTCATGCGTGCCTCATGGCAGAAATCTGATACAGAAAAAACTACAAAATATAGTTATAATCGTAAATTTGTTTTAATGTAAATTTAAGTGGGTTGAGTTTCCGCTTTTTTTTTTTAAATTAATTTGGTAATAGCAAAAATATTATTCTTTGAGGCGAAAAAAAATTATGTGCGTAGAACATTAGGTTTGAAAATATTAATTTTTAAAAATTCTAGTTTTAATTGTATTCTACAAAATTATTTGTTTAAATTGGTAGAGTCATTTAAATGATGGTCGATAAATTTTTAATACAAAAATTATTTAAATGTAAGTTTAAAATTTTAAAGTGGTAATTTTTGTATTAAAAATTTATCGACCATCATGATGACTGTAATTTTAAAAAATTAATATTTTTAAACTTTAACTTTTACAGAACTTTGCGTTTTATATTTAAAATATTTTTTGATTATCAATTGTTTTGAGATTAAAAAAAATTAACTTTTTAAACTATTTTGGTAGAAAAGGTTTTGTAAGTGTTTTTAATTTAAATGTCTTGATACTATTTTTAAAAACTAAAAAAAATAACTTTACCAATTTAATCTAAATAATTTTATGAAATATTTATTTAAGATTGACAAAATTTTGCCCAAATATTATTATTATATTATTATTCTTTAGAAATTACTTTTATAAAAATATAATAGTTGAAAATTTTTGCAAAAATTGATTGGAAAGTATTAAATATTATTTAATACAGAACTGTTGCGTCTTTCGATACATGATGGTTAAAAATATTTTAAATTTAAAAATGTAAACCTTAAAATGTTTTTTTTTAATTAAAAAACTATTTAATACATGTTAAAACGGCGCGCGGCGTGCCATAGATATCAGTTATAAAAACGGAAATTTTAGGATAAAATCGCATCCAAATTCTAAGTAAATTGCGATATATCTCTGAAACCACAATATTTATGCTATAATTCTTGAAAAGCATTATAAATTATATAATTTATAATGCTAAACATATTTTCATTATTAAAAGATATATGGTTTTGCCAGTAAATAGAGTAAAAAGTTTACTATCGATTCCTATAAATAACTAATGGAATAATTAATTAATTTCGAAAAAAATTGAGTTATCATGTTAACAATTGTGCCTTCCTGCCACCGAATTATTAAGGACTTTAAGGTAAATTAAATTAAATTTTTTTACCATATGATTACTTTGTAGTAACAAAATTTATGAAAAAAATGATTTTACTTCTTCAAAAATATTTTTTTTTACTCTCATTGCAATTTTTTATATATTTTTTGTTTCACCTCAAAGACCAATATTTTTGCTATATACATATAATATTACAAAATTTTATGAAAAAGCGGATATTTAACCCACTTAATTTTTAGTTTTGTGTTTTCAAATACAGGAATTTTTTTAACAACTTTTTGCAATTCTTTTTATTCAAAAAAATGACGATTTCCGGGACTGGATTAAAAATTGTTGTCCCCTTTTGAAAAAAATTATAATGGTCACTTTGTATAATCTCAAAATATAGTATATTGCACTACAAGGGACGAAAGTTGAATTTTCGGCTCTGCGCGTCATGATGCCCGAAGCGAAGCCGAGGGCATCATGACGCGCAGGACCGAGATTTCAACGTTTGGCCCGTGTGGTGTATACTATTTTTCTTCATACATCGGTCGAAAGTACTTACTTTCGTCCCTAATAGCAGGGACGAAAGTTTACCTCGGTCGAAAGTACGTACTTTCGTCCCTAATAGCACAGGGAGTAAATGTTAAACTTTCGTCCCTGCTATTAGGGACGAAAGTAAGTAAGGGAGACCGGGGCGGAATGGGGACTCTAACGTTTAAAAATTATTTATAGTAGGGTAGAGACTTGTACAAATTAAAAAAAAAACAGAACGATTTATTACAGTATTATAAACCAAAAACAAAAAAAATTAACATAAATGCTTAACAATTTTTTAATTAATAACAAAGTACTTGAAATTTATCCAATCTCAAAATTTAATATCATGAGCTGACTAAATAGTCTGAAAAAGATTAAAAGCCAATAAATCTAAAAAAAAAAATATCAAAATTTAGACACCGAGGTGCACCGGTTAAATAATGTAAAGTTTTTATCGGTTCGTAGCACTGGTTTAATAACTAACTAAACTATTTATTTTAAAACTTAATACTAAGAAATTATAAAACTAATTAATATTTATTTATATATCACTACTGTACAACAGTTTTATTTGCACGTATATTTATTTTATTTCGTCGCGAGTACCAAAGCTTCGCTGTGCCTTATATATTCAGTGCATACTTGACCCACGTTACGCTTCCCGAACATTCCAGCGAGCTCCACACCGCTCTCGATCGCTCGAGCGTTCTGGATTTAAATAGAACACATACAAATAATTTGACAACTTCTTATAGATTTTTTTTACGTAAACAGTACATTTTATCGATGTCTATTATGATGGCTCGTGACCATTCATGAAGGTGAGGCCCATGAACCGCTATATGGCACCGCAGGCAATTTTTTTTGAAATTTTCAAAGTCTCGCGGTTTTGAAGCACTTCAGAATCTAAATAATAAAAATGTATTATTTAAAAATATGTTCTTTTAAAAGAAGAATTTTCAAAATTTAGCTAGAATAATACAAAAAGTGCGGGACGAGGTGGGATTTTTATTTATTCCTTCAGCAGGTTTCCACATTACCCAGCAGGTACTGCTCATTTTTACCTATCTTACAATTATTATTTTTAGATTAATAAAGGCACAACCGCACAACAACAAAATAATAATGTACAAGCACAGTAGGTATATATATATGCATATCATGCATATCATGAGGTAAACGATTTTACACTGAACTTTAAAAAAACATGAATATTTTTATTTATATTTTTTGTGATTTTTACTGTGGTATTTGTGTGTTAATATAATAGAATATTAAAATAAAAATGATGTTTTATAATTATTTGAATTATTTTTACATGAATTCACAACACAATAATGTATTTTACGCTTGCATTTTTATCACCACTTTCCATTTTAACGAACTATAAAAACGCATAGATCTAATTAATAAGCTTTGTTTACTATAACATTCCCTGCCCAGTCTTTTACAACGTCTGATAAGTGAGCCGCACAGATCTCGATCGGGACTGACTCTGCTGTCTTCCATATACTGTGGTACAAGCCCAACTTTGTGGGCCTCAATGTCTACAAAAATTCGCGTATTATCCCCGCCTTGCGGGGGTGCCGGCGGCACCGTGCAGCGGTGGGGAGCATCATGTTGTATCGGCAATGTGGACGTATATGAAGCGCAAATTTATGGGATTACTATTTCCCTATTATGCGGTCGGGCAATGATTTAAGCGTTTAGAATTAAAGGGGGTGCGCGCTAAATTTAAAGGAAATATTTTAAACTTTAATGATTATTCTATGTTTTGATACTTTTAATGACTGGAAATTAGTTTTAAAACGTTTTATATTTAAATAAGTAATGTATCGAAAATTTCAAATTATATTATAATTTTAACATGTGAGGCACGGCCTCAGTTGCTTTATACGAGGAGCCGCCACTGGTGCAAAATAAACTTATTTTGCTTCTTTGAACGGCTGGGAAAATCTAGACTGAAAAAAGAAATCTCCTATCGCCAGCAAACCTTCAGATATTGTGCTTTCTCAACAAAAATTTTTCTGTTGTAAATTTAAATTACTAGAACAATAAAATAATTAGAAAACGATTAAATATATGATTTTTTTTATTAATATGCCGAGTTATTCGTATTCGTATCCGCCGAATAGTAGTTTTGATATTCCTATTCGTAAAAGTAGGTATACTATTCGTTGCATCACTAAAATAATACCTAATTTGATTATAAAATAAATTGATAAAAAAATAATTAATTATTTATAAATCAAAGCAAGTTTATTTTGACACAAACGGCGCCTCATACTCGACCAACTTATTTTTTGTTTTTGTATTTTTAAATACATGAATTTATACAATTTATTTCCGGGTCAAAAATTGTTGTCCACATTTATCTAATCTATGATTTGAAGAAATTCTAATGGTCACTTTGTATAATCATAATTATTATCCCAAAATAAATTGTTTATTTTTGAATAACGTACACCCAGTTGCCTACCTAAATGTCAAAGTACTTGAAATTTATCCAATCTCAAAATTTAGACACCTGTTAAATAATCGACTCCATTACCAAAGAGGTAGAAAATCCAGTGACCGCAGCTTTTATCGATACAAACAATGTAATAACGTTTCCATGGCAATAATGGTAAGTCTTTAACAACATAACCTTAAACCCATATATTGGATTTTTCGGGTTTTAGTTATGAGTACAGTGGGAAATATTGGTATTGGATTATTTATATTGATTATTACATGGATTTTGGCCCTTATTATATTTGTAATAGGCATTAAATTGCAAAGTAATATAGCTTGGATTGCTCTAGGGACAGCAACTATTTTTACAGTAATTTTACTGATTATACCGACTGAAAAACAGAATAAACCCAAAGAAGAGTTAGAATTAATTGTAAGTAAAATGTGTACACCATAAACTGTTTTAATTTTGTGTTTTTAAGGATAAAGACTACATAATCGTATACAAGAATTTCCTATTAAGTATATTGATTTTAACAGCTTGCATAGCGTTCACATCATTTTTTTTAATACACTGCATAAACCCTTTAAGAATAAAGCCCGTAAAATCCTTCTACGATGAATAATTTAATAAAAACAACCAACAAAACCCTTCTCAAGACTTTTTGTCGAACCCTTACTAAAACATCAAAACTAAACAAACTAATAACAATAAAAGGTAATGACGACTTTCTTCTAAAAGTTATGAACTCAGAGAAGCCTGTGATAGTCAATTTTCACGCTGAATGGTGTGAGCCCTGCCATATTTTAACCCCCAAAATGAAGGAGTTAATTGAACCCATGGAAAATGTCGATTTGGCAATTGTTAATGTTGAAAATCATGCAGAGTTGGTGCACACCTTTGAGGTTAAGGCCGTACCCGCGGTTATAGCGGTCAGAAACGGACTTGTTGTGGATAAATTTATAGGACTGGTTGATGCCAATATGATTGAGAATTTAATAGAAAAGTTGAACAAGGCTGTTGAATAAAAGTGTAAATATACGTTTGTGAATAAATAATAAACTTGTTTTAATGAAAAATTGTTTATTTTTTTTAAGTCAAAGATGGCAAAACGCGCTGTGATTGTTGGGTATATTTGGTATTTCTTCTGATATATTTAGTTGTTCTATATCTTGAGCTAAAAAAATAGTACATTTAATTGGAAATGTCATTTAATTGGATACTTACATATTTTACTCATCATACATCGCTGGATTTCCTTAAATTGAGAATATACAATGACATACTTTTCCGTAAGCTCATAGCTGTGAAACGTCATTAAATTCAGCACTTTTATGGTGATTTCATGTTTAAAAAAGTCATTCCATTCGTCTAAAACCGTAAAAATATTACCTTTCCATATATGCACCTTAACACATATTGTAAGTTAGTCTCGTTATTTACCTGTGATGATTTTTTTGTTTTTGACGTTGTTATTGTAGATATTGAGGGCTTTAAAGACTATATCTATTTCGATTTTGTATAACTGAGCGAGGCATTCACATCTAAAATTATTTTTTTGTAGTTTTTTTACAAGACAAAATGTTCTACTCACTGTTTAACATTTTTGTGATGTAATGATAGTGAATATTTAAATGTGTTGTATATAAATGTGAGCAAATTTATGCATATTTTCACTGGAAAGTTGATTTGGTTTTCTGTGAACACTGAGTTTACAAACAACATTGCAAATACATAAAAACAGCAAGATTCTAAAAAAATAACATTAATAAATTATATTTTTTTATTTTATTTTTTTACCTGGGTTATAATATAAAACTCCCTTTTTAGAACTAATTTTAATAGAATTGTTCATTTTTTTAAACATAAACTCTATAAAATTTGGAAAAAGTGACGCATGTTTAAATAAATAGGAACATTTATAAACAATGATAAATAATGGTTTAGAAAACAAAACCTCTTTTGTAATAGCACATACATTGTACCACCTAAAAATATAATATTTTTAGATCATAAAATGCTCATTTCCATATTTCTGTAAAACTTACACAAAATCAAAATTATTTGATTTACAAATATTAGTTAACAAGTCTATAACACTGTACAAAAAGCCTGTGACATCACAAGATTTTCTCTAAAAAAAAACAACAAAAAATAAACCTTCAAAATATTACAAAACACTTACAATTTGTCCCACTATTTCTGTAACACTTAAAATAAGGTTCAAATAAAAAAAGTCCTCCTCAAACTTGTTATTTTTTACAAAAGGAAACATTGAATAATTTTCACCCTCCTTAAAAATCAGCTTTTTACTATGTATCAAATAATTACTCAAATAAACACAATGTGGTATTAATTGAGACAAAATTAATATTGTATGGCCAGCCTTAATACCTATTTTATCCCTCTCAAAAATCCTAAAACACAAAAATAAAGTTTTTGTATTTTTTTAATAACTTACCTACTTGTCACAAGTAAAATCTGTAGAATCAACAATAATCTTGTTCAAATAATTTGAATCTGCTTGTTGTAAATCTTCTATCCTCATATTATCTTTAATATAATCCAAATATTCTTTTAAATCCATTAAAAATTGTATAGAAGTGATAAGAATCTAAAAAATATTACTTAAAAACTAATTAAATTATAATAATAATTTTTAATTATACCTTATTTATTTTCTCTATATTTTTATCCAAATTGAGTTCTTCCTGAGTACAACAAATTAAATAACTTATTTCAGGATATAAATACTCCAAAGTTAATTCTTTTTCATTTAAAATAAACGGTTTTGGTTTATTTTTTATTTTTGATAAATTCTCACTTAAATGAAAATCTTGGTTTTGCAAATAAGGAATGGTATTTCTACATTGATTATTAATATTAGATTTTGTACAATAACTTTCATATAAGTTTGTATTAAATATGGAAGACCCAGATAATTGACTTAAAGGATATACTAAAAAAATTAAAAATAGTAAAAAAATACTAATAAAATCCTTTATTATAAAGACTTACCAGAGCTTACTAAGGCTTGTATTTTATGCAAATTAACTTCATTATCACTACTAACTTGTTTTAGTTTTCTAAAATAGCAATAAAACATTATTTTTAATTCTTTAAAATAAAAAAATAATAAAAACCTGTTTTCCTGGACAATTTTAGATACATTCAGACTATTACTAGCTTCAAAATTGTGTTTAGAAACATCTAGAACCTTTTGTTTTAAATTACTTATTTCCAAATTCTAAAAAAAGTTTTTTAGGTGTGGACTTATCTTAGGTATATATATATATATATATATAATATATAAATATAATATGTAATAATTGTATAAAACCCTTTATTTCTTAAAAACTATGGTGAAAAAATGTTGCAATTTCAGAATGTCATAAAGTTATTATTCTATAAAAATTTTCCAAAATTTAATCTCTAAAATTTATAGTTTTGGAGATTACAACTGGGAAAAATGTGGACTTTTTATAAAATTGCCTGAATCTCAAAAACTATTACAGATCTTGCCATTTTAGTAGGTTAAAATGCTAGGTAAAATCACATTTACAAACCTTAAATTCTAATTCGCTCTGAAGGCTCCTAATTTCTTTTTGTGTAAAATTAAATTTCTCCTTCCATTCATCCTGCTTTTTCTGCTGTTCAAGCAGCAATTTTTGCTTGGTTTCTTGTAGCTGATTTCTAAGAATAGATACTTCACCCACTTTTTCATCATACTGAGTTTTAAGCTTGATAATTTCGGATTTTTCGACATTATTACTTGTGCTAGGTGTTTGAAAGGAGGTATTTAGCTGCGTGGATGAAAATATAACGTTCGGGTCTTTGAAGAGCGTATAATTCTGCACTATAGAGGTGTTATGTTGAGTTGCCACAATTTTTTCCTTTGAAAAATAGGGTTAAGATTTATATAATTTTGATATTTTAAAGTGATTTACCTCAACTTGTGTTGCAATGCGTACACAATCGTCAAAATCATCATCGTCACCCCATAAATCGTCCAAATTATCTTCTAATTTTGATTTTTTGCTGTTTGTTTCTTCAAATTGTCCATATCTTTTTGTCATTTTAGCGCAAAAACATGGCATTTGACAGAAATCATTTCTGAGAAATGTCACTAAAAGTCTTAAGGAAGCTTTCCACAATTTCAAAAATTGCATCTTTTAAACTGAATTTTTAAAGTTACCATTTTTATCAAGGAAACCTTAATTATTTATTAAAATTCATTAAAATATTGCTTACCATTATTTAAAAAAATGTTCTTTTATTTAATAAATTACAGTGTGAAGACAACCTAATTGTCAATGTTTCTTCTGTCACCGTAGAGTTGACGTATAAAATAAAGATCCCTGTTATTGTGACGTGTACTTCAAAAAGGAAAACACAAGTGCGTGACTAAATATGTTAGATTTATTTACTATTTTCAGCAAGGGGGGCATCGTTTTGTGGTGTTTTCAGAGCACCACGCAAATTTTCACGCCATCAGTGAACGCCCTGATAAGAAACGTAATTTTACAAGTAAGAATACACGAATTATTTAACAAAATATGTTGTGCAAACATGACTTATTTTTATAAAATTGACTGTACCTTAAAAACTATTATAGATGCAATATTGTAGTTTTAATATGTTATTAAGTTAACTTTCTTTAATAATTACACCAAATTTCATGTTTGTGGCATTTATGGTTTTTGAGATACAGGGCTTTAAAAAATGGACCATTACATAAAACTTTTTATTTAGGAAAGATCTGGCGTGCATACGTTCGATCATGATGGATTATCGTTGCAATATAAGTTGGACAATGAGTTTGAGTTGGTTTTTGTGGTGGCATATCAAAAAATATTGCAGCTATCCTATGTTGATAAGTTTTTAAACGATATTCACCTAGAGTTCCGTGATAAATACAAAAATGATTTGGCTGATGGTAAATACTTTCAAGAATTTAATTTTGAAGGGTGTTTCAATTCCACACTTAAATCAGTGGAGATATGGAGCAAGAAACAGGAAAATGTACCCAAGCAAATGAAGTCTTTTGAAGAGAGTTTTAAGTCCAAAAAAACTGTTTCTTCTATGATACAGAGAAAGGGGGAGGAAAAACCTGTGAAGCCCACCAAAAAGAAAGAGGTTAACTTTGCTAGTGAGGATTCTGTTAGCCCCCCTTTATCTCCTAAGGCAGATCAAAATGGAACTGAAGTAGAGGATGTAATGGCTGCTAATAGAGCCAAATTTGCTCAAAAAATGAGCAAGAAGAAGGTTGATACAAAGTAAGAATCAATTTACATTATATTATAATCATTTAACAAATTTTTATTTTTTAGAAAAAGTCCTAAAAGCCCTAAAAGTCCCCCAGAAAAAGCAGGGAAAAAACCCAGAGTTTGGGACTTGGGTGGTACAAATAAGGACTTGGAAACATTGGAAAGAACCACTGATAGACCTGAGGATATGAAAAGTCATTTTACACCAGATACTGAGGTAATTAATTCAAATTTATATAGTATTCAAATTTATTTTAATTTTTCCATGATTTAATTATACAAAATATTGCATTATTTATCTAGTTTATCTAGGATAAAACTCCAAGGTCAACCTATAATTGATTGACTTATAATCACTGTGGACTTATTTTACAAAACACACTGTATCTTAAATACATATATTACAAATATAAACTTGTAATTTTAGTATGTCCTAAAGTTAATATTCTTAAATAATTATTCAAAATTTTGTAGCTTTTATCATTTTTGAGTTTTGTAACTTTAAAAAATGTGGATTTGTATCTTAAAAACTAAAATAGAGATATGCTTGTAATTTTAATATGTTTTAAAGTTAACATTCTTTATTAAATATTCCAAATTAAAGTTTCTAGCATTGTTTGTTTTAAAGATATACAACTTTAAAGAATATGGTCTTATTTATAAAAAGGACTTTATCTTAAAAGGTGTAATAGATACAAACTTGTAATTTAAGTATATTTTAAAGTATTCTTAAATAAACATTTTAAATTTACCTCTTTTTCAAGATTGTTGGTCAAATGAAAGGTGTTATCAAGGACATTGAAATAGAATCATCTGAAGATGAATATGAAGAAGACGATGATGAAGATGAAGAAATTGTGGAAACAAAAACAGCAAAATCCAAAGGGGGCATGTTTTCCATACTAAAAGGATTAGTGGGCTCAAAAAGCCTTTCAGCAAGTGACATGGGACCAGCTTTGGAAAAAATGAAGGAACTATTGATCGCTAAAAACGTTGCCTCCGACATTTCACAGAAACTTTGCGAATCTGTCAAAGTTAAATTGGAGGGAAAGGTTTTAGGGACATTTGATAGTGTTGCTAGCACTGTAAGAAACACTTTAAATGAGTCTTTGGTGCAAATTTTGAGCCCAAAAAGGAGGGTGGATATTTTAAGAGACTGTTTGGAAGCCCAGAAGCAAAACAGGCCTTATGTTATGACTTTTTGTGGGGTAAGTGTACATAAAATCAACTATATCCTAAAAACCATAACGTTTGTAATTTTATTATGTTAAAAAGTTAAAATTTTTTAATGAATATACCAAATTTTGACCCTTTGGAGTTTTTTAAAATTAAATGATTTTTGTAGGGCTTTATATAATTTATTACTTACCATCTTTAGGCATACCATTTTAAAATATAAATTAAAGAGGGCAAAAAAAATATAAATAGTAAAGGGTTAAAACAGAGAGAACAGACATAAAGTAATATTAACGTTATTTTCACGTAAAAATGTGGTATTTAATTTTTTTTTATAGGTACTTTATTATTAATTTAATTAATTTAATTTAATTTTTTTTAATACTTTATTATTTTGGTCGATTGAATAGTTAATTTAATAGTTAATTATGTAGTAAAAATAACGTATTAAACCATTCCTCTTGTTTGGTAAGTTTTCGTATTTGTAACTGTTCTCAGTCTGAATAACTGCTTTAGATGTCCCATAATTTTAAATAATAAATAAATTAATTTTACCATTTTAGATTACTATACAGAATAAGTAAATATGTAGTTATTTTAACTTAAAATAGTGCTTGGGAAAAGGCAAAAAGTTTCAGTAAACAACTTAGGCTTTCCAATTGCACTTAAAACTGAAAGTAAAAAAATATTAATTATTGCAAAAATTGTGGGTTTCAGATATAATTGCAATTTTGTCCTCAAATTTCCATTTTTATAACAGAAATCTATGGCACCCCATTTCACTTTTTAATTGGATAAGAATATTTTTAAACATTTTACTTACATAATATTTAATTTTATGTAATTATTTATTTTGTCAGACTTAATTAAAATTATAAAAAATTATATGTTCCATAGTTTTTAAAAAACCTACTTAATTTTCTTTTACATTTAAAACATTTACAATTAAAAAGTAAAATGGCATGCATGCCATAGAAATCGCAATTATCTCTGAAACTTTAATAGGTGTTTATGCGATAATTGAAAAGGATGTTTTTTAGTAGAGAATTAAATTAATTAAAAAAAACGTTTTTTCATAATATTTTTTTAATTACAATTTTAAGTCCCATTTGCAAGCCTAAGATGTCAACCAAAAAAGTTTTCAATTCGCACACAATTTTTTTACCGCAATATTGATCATACCAAGTTTGAAGTTTGTAGATGATTTTAACAAATATGGTTTTTTTTTGCTCCAATAGGTGAACGGCGTGGGTAAATCTACTAACCTCGCAAAAATTTGCTTCTGGCTCATCGAAAACAACATGCGGCGTACTAATAGCCGCATGCGACACGTTTAGAGCAGGCGCAGTTAGAACAACTGCGCACTCACATGCGCCACTTGAACGCCCTGCACCCGGCCGATAGGCATGGCGGGCGCCAGATGGTGCAACTATACGAAAAGGGATACGGAAAAGATGCCGCCGGTATCGCCATGGAGGCCATAAAGTTCGCCAGGGACTCCAGGATAGACGTTGTTCTTGTGGATACTGCTGGCAGAATGCAGGTATGTGGAAAAAGGGCGGGTGTATTTTGTTGATTAATTAAACACAGTAGGGAGATGAAAATATCACAAGCTAAAACGCTCGGACTCGTAAACTTAATTATTGGTCGTAGATTACAAATTCGTGGCTTAGTTTAGCTGTATCAGATCAAAATTCAAAGAAATTAAAAAACCACTGCATAAATAAAAAATAATAATTTGGCTGAATCCACACATCAGTTCCAAATTAAAAAAAAACAAATTATTGCAAAATTTGAAGTTAATTGATCAAAAGGAACAGGGGGTCCCTGAGAGGTTTTAATAGATAATTTAGGAAATTCAAAACGATTTTTTGATATTTTTTTTATTGAGTATAATTGAGGATATTATGTTTATTAAAATAAAAAGCATAGGAATGTTGGCACAAGAGGGTGAAATATATTATTTTGCAAATTATAATATACCACCCGGACAACAATCGGGATTTCCTGGTGAAGTCATGATGATATCACAACGTGATTTTTTTTATCACGCTGTGATACCCTGAGTGCATACACATGCTTCATCATATAGAACCCACGGTGTGATATTTGCAAAATTTGCGCATGCGTATGAGCCCTGCGTACTGCGAATTTAAAACCTAGTTTGTTATTCACATTACACACGTTATAATTATTAAACGTTTTTGAATATCACGATTGTATTCCGGGTTCAATTAAAAAAGATATTCAATGTTTAAGAAAACGTTGAACGTTTCGTTAAACATTGTATTGTTAATTAACTATAGTTAATTTAATTGAAGGAAGATTGAATGTATACATAAATATATTTAACCACAAAATTTGTTGATACTTTTGTATACTTTTTCTCTCAATGTACGAACGTGGCGCAAAAATGATTATCCAAACACCGTTGGCATAAGAAATCACGACATGATTTTTTGTGCCATCGTAAACAGCGATGGCATAAAAAATCACGACAAGATTTTCAATTTCTCACGCAGTGACATCCGGATGATGTCCGTATGAATAAAATTTGTGAAAATCACGACGTGACGTTCCGTATGATTTTCATTTATTACGCGGTGACGTCTCGTATGATATCAGTATGAATAAATGTGTGAAAATCACGACGTGATGTTCGTATAAATATCACGAATGTTCGTCCGGGCAGTATACAGTGTATCGGACTTTTTTAGACCTGATACAGCTAAACCGAGCACGGATTTGGAATCTACGACTTAAAATTATGTTTACGTGTCCGAGCGTTTAGCTGTGATATTTCAAGAGTTGAAAATTTACCTACAGTGTAATTAAGGCATGTTTGTTCCAAATTTGAAGTTTCTAGGTTTACCAGTTTTGAGATATAGTGCTTTGTAAAATGTGGACTTACTTAGTAATAATTCTAATTTGTAATTTTAGTATGTTAAGAAGAAAACATTCTGTGAAAATTATACTGTTTTTATGGTGATTATTTTTTGAAACCGACTATATATTAGGAACCATGCAAAACCATACAAAACTTACAATTTTAAGATGTTGTAGAGTTAAATTTCCTATAAAAATATTTCAACTAATACTTATCAAATTATCAATGTTTTTCTTTTTCTAGGATAACGAACCTCTGATGAGAGCTCTGACCAAACTTATTAAAGTAAACGAACCGGATTTGGTTCTTTTTGTCGGTGAGGCTTTGGTTGGTAATGAAGCTGTTGATCAGTTGGTTAAATTCAACCAGGCGTTGGCTGATTATTCGTTAAATACGAACCCTCATATTATTGATGGAATTGTCTTGACCAAATTTGATACTATTGATGATAAGGTATGATATGGGAAATTAACAAGGTTTATAGGGTTTATATTTTGTTTTTTTAGGTTGGTGCTGCTATTTCTATGACTTATATCACTGGGCAGCCAATTGTTTTTGTTGGTACAGGTCAAACATATACAGACTTGAAAGCACTGAATGCTAAAGCTGTTGTACATTCTCTTATGAAATAAATTATTTTTTTTTAATTGCATTTTTTTAAATAGATGGTTAAATAATATATTTTGTTTTACATTAAATATCGCTTTATTTTCCTTTTTTAACACAACTAAAAATATAACATTTTACAGCCCTTAAGTAAAAAAAACACATTAAAAAATATTCAGGCTTAATAACTTAATATAACTAATTACATTAACTTAAATCTATATGGTGAAAAAACTATGGAAAATTTTTATTTTACTTAATTTTTCCACCAAAAATATTTAGGACGTTCGCTTTAAAGCTTTCCGAATTACAGTCCAATCCTCAATTATATCTTGTGGCTTCAACATATAAACAATGTAGGGCCCTGAAACTGTAACAGCCTTCCTTTTGGACCTCGACCTTGACCTTGTACCCCATTCACCCCCCTCACCCCAGGTGATTTCACTGTTCTGTCTATCCTCTTCTAATCTTCGTATAGTATCCAACAGTTCAGTATGGTAAAAGTCTCTTGCAAGGTTTTTCTCACTCTCAAAGTTTTGTTTGGCAGCCTGTTCCTCTGCATCAAATTGATTTTTGATGTTTTCCAGCTTCAAACGGCGTAGAATATCTGCTACTTCAGTTCGTATCCGCATGTTATCTTGCAGCTCTGATAAAGGTACTAAATATTCTGGGGAGCGCCCCGCTTTTACTTCGTATAGTTGGTGCTCAACCTGCGTAATTCTCTCTTTGTACAGTTGCTCCTTTAAGTGCCCGAACTGATTCTCTAGATCATGCACGTGCTGCAAGAGTTCAGTACGTCTGCTTTCGCACTCCCCTACAAATAACCCGCTTGTAGAAAAACTCTTGCGCCCTTTCGAGGTTACATTACCTTCGTCCATCTCACTACTGTCGTCGGAGTCGGCCTCGTCCTCGCTCGTATCGCGGGCCCCGTCATTTTCGCGACTTGTGTTCGAGTGCTCGGATTCCGCCCCCGAGACGTCGCCGTCGTTCACGTCGACGCCCGATGACGTCACTTTGATCGGGGGCATGATAGAGCCGTAAATGGTGGTTTTTCTCTATTTAATGCCGAGAAATTCGATTTGACACATAAACAATATAAGTGAGGTTATGTTATGTTATGGCGAACGGTCGGTAAAGTAGATTGGCCCCTTCAGGGCAGTGTTGCCAATCAGTAAGGAATTTGCTGGTCTGTGAGTAAAGTACAGTTGTGAGGACAAAACATACATTTTGTATAACTTTTATATAATTCTATATTTCTTTCGGAAACTCAATAAAAAGACTTTTTTAAATCTCTTCACAAGGTTAATTTCTCACAACTTGGCAATGCTGTATAGGGGTGGTTAAGTAGGTATCTGTAATTTTGACAGATGTCGCGGTGAAGTAAATTTGACATATTTTGTCATTTTTTGATCATTGGCAAAGAACGATGTAAATAAGAAATTCGCGTTGTACCGTATGATAAGCGCGCGTTCGAAATTATTAACTGATGTGTATTAATTTGTGTGATAAAAATCTTATGCGTATTTCAAAATATTCGGCATTGTTGTTTTTGAAATTGCCCAATTTAGCCCCATAAAGAAGGTTGTTTGAAGCGATGTCGAAACGGTGATTTATTTGTAGCACAATAAAGTGCATGTTGATGTGGTATCTAGTGTTTACCCTTTTTTTAAAACGCGATTTGCTACCACACTTTTTTAATACAGTGACGTAATTTTGAGGCATGAGTTATAGGACAATATTCAAATTTATTTGGTAGAAATGGAGAATATACGATTTTTAATCAGGTGAGATAATAGCCGAATTACATAATCTTATCTATGAGTAACTAGAAAAATTTGGCCTAAATGTTTGCAATTTAAAAATTGTTTAGAAGTATGTACCCACATATAATGGGTATATGTATAAAGGTATAATATAATATATTATTAGGAATTATTTCCTTAAATTACAGATTTACCTACAACATTTATAAACGTTTTTTATCAAATGCAGTACCTACCAATTGGAAATAAATAATTTTTTTTGTTTATCTCAATAATTAAAACATAAATTTTATAGGTATCAATAATAATAATAATAATCTTTGATATTCAAAATTGAATATTTTTATATAAATCAATTTAACATTATAACATATAACTACTGAATACCATGAACTGTATAGTGTTAACACAGCAAGAAGACATTTACAAAAAAGTCTCTAAATAAGGTTGGGGCATGATAAATATTCAATAAAAAATGGCATGCAAATTTTTAGGGTATACTTGTCAGACTTGGTGTACCCTAAAAAGAGTTACAACATGTTGGGCTTTTTCTGTGACACTTATGTTTCACAAGTCAATAGTTTTATTATTAAACTATTTATGTATGATCTTTCCATTTACGCCAAAATGTTTGTTCAAAACTCCAATTGTACTACTAATAGCATCAAAGCAATGAAGCTTTTTGATTTTGTCGCTGACAGTCATGTAAGATTTCTCTGCAAATTTTACAAAAATATTCATATTTTGATAAATATTTCAGGATAACTTCAAAATAACAAGATAAGATTAAGGGTCAGTTATCCTGAAACTTTTACCAAAATTTAATTATTTTTGTAAAAGTTGCAGATTTTTTTAATACAACATTTTGACCATTTCTATTTTAAAGCTCTGTATCTTTTTTAAAAAGTCTTTTCTAAAGGATCTATAGACATATTAACTTAATAGGTATGTCTATGAAATCACCAGTTCAAAAAAATTAGTTTAAACCCATTTTTATTGTGTTTTTTTCTATAGATTCGTTTCTTTAATTCTTTCAGAAATTGGTACCTTATACCAAAAGGACTATTTAGGATGTGTTTTATATTAGTTAATAATGCATACTGCATACCCACATATGTGGTATGGATGGTATTATTGTCACCATTGAGGAAAGTAAATCCAGATATATATTGGAGAATAGAAGGGTACTTTTTCCATTGGCTTTTGGCAATGGTATCCATGTGGAGCTGGTCAGCCGGCTATGATGGTAAGAAATAAACATATTAAGATTTTTCTATATAGGTACAAGCTTGTTCACCTTACAGTGACCAAAAACATTTTTTAAGCACCCTGTATATATTAACTATTGTTTATTATGTAACAAAAAAATAAATGCCAGTAATTGCATGTTAGATAGATTTCTAATACATATTATTTTCAAGGTTAATGTAAATATGTAAGAAACATTTTTATAGAAAAGTCTAACTTACATTGGTGTTTTTTTAAGAATAAGTTATAGCTATTAATAAAGTATTGGCTTTAGTTAAAAAGTTCTAAAAGAATTTTTTTCTTTCTAAATTTGGTTCAAAGACGTTTGGTTCTAAACAATTATTATAATAGTTAAAAATAATAATCCTTCAAATGCTAAAACCAAATTAATATTTAAATTGCATACCTACCAACTAACAAAGTGACATTGTGTAACATTTTGTAAACAATATTAAAACCTACCAAACAATGTAAGTTGCCCAATTTGGTGTCCTAGGTAATTTGTACACCGAATATAAAGTAGTTTAAGTAAATATAAAATTTATCTTGATTAAAATGATCCTGAAAACTTATTACATTATAACTTTTAAGCGTGAGCAAAACTTTGCTTTAAGTAATTGCAAAATATCGTTTTCAGGAGTCTTATAATTTTAATTTCAAACCAAGCAGTTTTCTCTCGTACAGTGCCCGCCGTGTAAGTTGGTGAGAAAGCAACTTGGGCAGTTAACGTATTATATAATTTAGTAATCAAGTAAAGTTTAACACGTGTTTGGTAATGCATTGGCGCGTATGCAATAGTATTCTGAATACTGTATTCATTACTTTGGTTAAAATATTTTTAGCTATTTGTTCATTTTTTTTTATAGAAATTGTATCCATATTTCGACGTATCGCAAAATTATTAATTGACTAGTTTGAAAAATATATTACAAGGTAACAAAGTAGTATTATTTTAAAAGGATCCATAATTACATAAATAGCATTGACTAAAGTAAACTCAACTAGACTCAAGTAGACTCAACGTAAATAGTATAAGTAGTAGTAGGTAAATCTGGATTTATATACTTAAATTCAAATTGGCTGTTAGTGTTCTTGTTAAATAAGTAAATTAAAAATAATAATATAGGTATATTAAATAAAATTAAAAAAAGATAAAAAGTAAAATAATATAAACGAAAAACATAAATTGGAACAACCCATTAATATGCTTATCTTGAATTTTTAGTCACAATTATGAACATTTAAGAACCAGTATAAGTATAAGTGGCAATTCAGCCATCCTACATGGTCTTTTATAACTTAAGTACCTATTGTGGTAAATTAAATTGATATTTTACAAACCCAAGGCAATTTTAGTAAGAGATTTATGAAATAACCCTTACATATTACATATAAAAGTGAATGTTATTTTATAGAGCGTACTTGGTTTAATATCCCTTTATTGAAATCCGACCATTACCAAGAATGTTTCAGTTAAAAAAATTAACACATTATTAAGAGGTTTTGAAAAACATTGACACGCTGCACTGTGCCCAGTGGGGGATTTAATAAAAAAGGCCCAGGTGGCAAAGTTTTAAAGGGGCCCAGTATTAAGGTATAAATGAAAAAGTAAATAATATATTATAATGTCAAGGTTATAGTTATAGATTTTAAATATAGGTTTTTCATAATTTACAAAAAACTTTTTCTATATTTTCTATATTTTTTCCTATACAAACTACTAATTACTTTCTAAAAAAAATAGTTCTTATAAAAACTTTTAATTATTGATAAAAATATTAATGGTTAATTATTAAAAACCCTAATAAATTACCAACAAAATGAAGAAAATATTAAAAAGTTTAAAAATAGTATAATGTGTTAAACCATGAACCAGAAATATTAAATATTATATTAGGTAAAGTTTTTTTAACATTTGCGTAACTTATTTTTTCTTTTGTATGCAAAATATTTTAAAATAGTTTATTTTATTTAATAAACAATATGTTTAAGAAAATAAGTCTTGGTACATTTTTGATTTTAAATCTTAAAAAAATAAATTTAAATTTAGAACAATAAAAAATTTACCGAAACATTGTTATTTGTATTATTTATTATTAAATTTTAACCAAACCCGGCAAAACCTCGTTTTTAAAATGAACAAGTGGTTTATTTTATAACTTTTTTCTAATCTAAATAAACATAAAATACGCAATTAATTTTAAAATATTTTTTTTAAAACACAATATTTCAATAAAATCTGCTAACTGGTTCAAACTTAAAAACCCAATTAAAGAGAAGTTTTAAGTCATCTAAAAGAAATTATTTTCGGCTAAATTAAAGCGGCAGCAAAACCCTGTCGCACACACACTGCTTAACAATTAAAATAATTTTAAAATAAAAAATAAATAATATAATAATATAATAATATAAAAAAAAATATTTAAAACAAAAAATTTCAACTGAATTGATTAACAGTTTACTGATGTACGTTACAATACAAGAAAATAAATCAAAAAAACATTTATTAAATTTATATAAATATGTAATTAAAATAAAATATACAAATATATATATATATATATATATATATATATATATATATATATATATATACAGGGTGTTTCTTTTAACTTGAGACAGCTCAATATCTCGAGAAATACGCATTTCACGGAAAAATGTCTTAAATAAAAGGTTAATGTGACTAAAGGGGACATTATTTGGTGCTACCGCTAGCCACCCCCTACCCCTCCTTAAGGGTGAAACGGGGGGTAACTTTGGAAAGTCAAATGGAATGACCCGATTTTTTTCACAGAGTTTGGTAGTACATAAAAAAAATAAATAACTTTTATTTAAAACTTTTTTCAATTTATCAACAGATGGCGCTGTAATTCAAAATTTAAGAAAAATGAGTTTCCTTGTAAAATGTATTATTTGAAACGTTTGAAAAACAAAAATTAACATTAACAACAATAGTCGGCTATGAAAACAATTTATAACAAATGTTCGAAATGTCGTCATTCCATTTCAACACATTTTTGAATGCGGGTAATGAATTCTGGCACACAACGCACCAACATGTCGGGCGGTATCGCCGCACAGGCGTTCCTGATCCGCTTCTCCATGTCCTCCCAAGTTGTAGGAATTGTAGCGTAAACTTTTTCTTTCAAGTAACCCCACTGGAAGAAGTCTGGTGGCGTAAGATCAGGTAATCGAGCAGGCCAAATTACTGGACCACGTCTACCAATCCACCGCGGTGCACCGGCCATTGAACTCCCGATCCAACACCTCTCGAGCAATTGTCGAATAATGTGCAGGACAACCATCTTGCTGGTACCACATGTTTTGGAGCCGTGCTAGTGGTACATCCTCCAAAAGGTCCGTCAGATCGTTTTCTAGAAAATTCCGGTACTTTTCGCCATTTAATGCACCGTCAATAAAGAAGGGTCCGATTAATCGTTCGCTTAAGGTACCGCACCAAACGTTTACCGACCAGGGACGCTGGTGCTCCACTTGGTGTCGAAATGGAAGGACGACATTTAGAACATTTGTTATAAATTGTTTTCAGAGCCGACTATTGTTGATTTAATGTTAATTTTTGTTTTTCAAACGTTTCAAATAATACCCCTTTTTCTTAAATTTTGAATTACAGCGCCATCTGTTGATAAATTGAAAAAAGTTTTAAATAAAAGTTATTTATTTTTTTATTTACTACCAAACTCTGTGAAAAAAATCGGGTCATTCCATTTGGCTTTCCAAAGTTACCCCCCGTTTCACCCTTAAGGAGGGGTAGGGGGTGGCTAGCGGTAGCACCAAATAATGTCCCCTTTGGTCACATTAACCTTTTATTTAAGACATTTTTCCGTGAAATGCTTATTTCTCGAGATATTGAGCTGTCTCAAGTTAAAAGAAACACCCTGTATATACAGGGTGTTATGTAATTAATGTTATATATTAAAATACTGAATACCTTTTGACATAAGGTGTAATGGAAAAATATTTTAAAAGATATTTTCCCAAAGATAAAGAAAATATATGCATTAGAAGTTTTTTATATTTTTTGTGATACGCTACTGGTTACACACTTGTGTTCTGTGAGTACATAGATACAAACCAACAAAGCAGCTGCGCGTTGCCAGTTGTAAAAAATTGTTACTAAAAAAATTTCTTGCATAAAATAAATAAAAACTCAATAAATACAAAAGTTTTATGCCCTTAAAGCTCTAATACCATTCTGTATTTATTTACTCATCCAGCTATTAACTTAAGCAATGATAAGAAAAATTAGTATCTACCTATTTAAAATCTCCATAAAATTAATTTTTTCATCGGTTTTTTTCTTTCTGTTTACTCAGATGAAATTAGGACAAGTTCACAGGTTAATCGTTAAACATTCAATTTGTGTAAATAAATCCAAACCCCAAAAGCACTTCCCTTAGTTAAGATATTTACAATTTGAGCACATAACCTACAATTTTTTGACAGAATGTGTTACCAACCATAACATAATAAATTAAACCAGATTAACTTAGGGTAGGAACGCCTAAATGCAGGAATGGGCTCCATCTGAATATAAATTTTGCGTAAAATAAAACCAAATCAAACCAAACCCAACCAACCCAACCCTCCGTAACTGCCCTATTGAAGCCTAACCACCCTATTGAAGACGATTATTCCATCGGTAACAAAGTTCGAGATAAAGGGCAATGCACGATGGAATAATCGTCTTCAATAGGGTGGTTAGGCTTCAATAGGGCGGTTACGGGGGGTTGGGTTGGTTGGGTTTGGTTTGATTTGGTTTGTTTTATTTTACGCAAAAATTATATTAAGATGGAGCCCATTCCTGCATTTAGGCGTTCCTCTTAGGGTATGTTCCGTAAATACACACGAGTTACCGGTCTGGTTACTGAAATAAATTCCTGGTTTTCTCGGTTAGTTCATATTTACGGGACACCTTTATTTGAAAAAACATAACCCAACTTACTTTTTTCGACCTACTCTTTAAAATCTCTATAACTT